AAGTTCACTGGGCCGACAGAAAGCTGTCGGTCGACCGGTCCGGTCGACCGATGAAAATTTTCGGTCGACCGACGAATTTTCCGGTCGACCGACGAGTGTTCCTTCAGCTTCCAACGGCTAGTTTTTTGACCGTTGCCTTGGGGCTGTTTTGTCTTTTCTCTTGGGGTTTTTTGGCTGAGTTGTGAGAGGGTATAAATACCCCATTGTCTTCAACTCTCAATTTATCTAAGAATGTTTTAAAGAGACTTTTAAAAACAAGTTTAATGAGTTTTGTTTAAGGGTTTAGTGTTTGTTTAAAAAGCTTTTAAGCATTTACAAGAGTTTGGTTTGTGGAGCAAATTTCACAAGAGCAAGTGGAGATCATCCTTGGTGTTTGAGCATTCATTCTTCTCCCTCTCTCTTGTCATCTATAGAGAAGTTTCCTTAAACTCAATTCTAGCATTTTATAAGTTTGTTCTTAATTTCATAAGCTAGATTTCATATTGAGTTTATATTGTTTTATCTCTTTGTTCACACACAACCTATTGAGCTTATTGTATTTACATTCATAGTATAATTTGGGGTTGTGGGTTTGTGACTAAGAGTTGTGCTTAATTGAGTTCTCATCTTGTTTAGAGAACAATCAATTGATTTATATTGTACCTAATTGTGAGGATTCACTTGTAATACACTTGTACACCGAGAGAAGTGTGTGGTGAGAGACGGGGTCGAATCCAAGAGGAGTGGCGTCGGTTGACGTGCCTAGGGAGAAACTGGAAAACCGATTGTGAGGAGTGACGTTGATCGGTGAGCGTTGAAAACCGACACTGTGAGGTATAAACGTTATTCTGGTGAGCGTAGAAAACCCGGTTGTGATAGTGGATTTCTCCCCGGGAGTGGGGAGCGGAGACGTAGGACGGAAGGTCCGAACTCCGTGATCATTTGATTGTGTTTGAGTGTACTTTGGCGTATTTATTTTTGCATTCATCTTATATCGCCATTTGTGCATTGCTCATTTATTTCATTCACTATCTTGTTTAGATTGTTTACCCCTTGTGTTAGTTTATATATCCTTGCATTATATATATATATAATTCATCATATAGGATATATCTCATTATTCATATTGCTTATCCTAGCTTATATTCTTGTTGTATTTCATACTTGCTAGGATAACTTATTAATTAATTTTAATTGGCATTTAATCGGATTAGATTAGCATAAGACCCTAATCACCCCCCTCTAGGGTCTAACAAAAATCACAATAGATAGCTGATCCCCATCAAAACACCGATGATGGAAGTTACACTCTGACGACTTCCAGAAGACTATAATTTGAAGACTTTCACGTAGATCGCTGAAGGTTACAATCTGACGACTCTTGCATATCAAAGAGCTAAAGTAAAGATTACAAAATGACGATCTTTGCAACGCTTCGACAGAAAGAGACTACAAATCAATGGTCTCTTCAAATCAAGACGTGGAAGTCCTCCCCGCGTACCAGCATCAAGATGCACCGCGTTCATAGCCACGAACGCAGCTCAAATGCAGCTCCAAAAGTTGCAAACGCAGCTCAACCCGCTGCCAAACGCAGCTCTAATCCCTGGTTCATAGTCACGAACGCAGCTCAAATACAGCTCCAAAAGTTGCAAACGCAGCTTAAATCGCCACTGGACGCAGCTCTATTCGCTGCCCGACGCAGCTCAACATCGCTGCACACCGCAGCTCTATTCGCCGCCCGACGCTGCTCAACGCAGTTCCAAACGCTGCCCAACGCAGCTCTATACCGCTGCCAAACGCAGCTTTCATCCGCTGCAAACGCAGCTTCCAGACGATGCGTTCAAGCTTCCAGACACTGCGTTTGAATGCAGAATTCACGTCAGAACGCGGGCATGCGTTTGACTCGTTCAAACACGAGCTGAACGGTTCCAAAACTGTTTCCCACGATCTGAGGGGATCACAACTCCACTCAGGAGTGATTTAAGGGGCGGTTACATCCCATTAGCCCCACTTAGGAGCGAATTAAGGAGGTGGTTACACCCCTTAATCCCCTATAAATAACTAAGAAATCAACTTAGTTCGGGGCTGGATCTTTCAGGTTCGGTCGGTTGGAACTTCTTGGCTCGTCAACAAGATCCTTAGAGCATTTTTGGAGCTTTGGAGATCGGCAACAAGATCTTCTTCATCCTTGGCTTATAACCGACTTTCGGTTAAATCAACTCTTTCATAGAGTTTAAACTATGTTCCAGTGAAACAAGACGTCGGATCGTCAACGAGAAGCAAACTCGACGCAAGCATTCGAGGGAGGCATCTCATCGCTACCAAGAAGAACCCAGAATTAAACAAAGGAGAGAATCCCGATCATTCTCTTCTCTTTTGTAATCGGAAATCCAATTGTAATTGAGAGTTGAGAGAGTTGTAAACATTCTTTTTCTAAACAAGTTAGAAAGAATAAAAATCAAATACAGTTCTTTCATTATTTTCTTATTTGCAAATTTTCCACCAAACAGGGACAATCCATAACGGGAAGTCCCATGGTCAAATTCCCTAGCAACTATTAGTCCCATTTGAAAGGTGTGGCGATACCTTGTGGGAAAATCAAAATATAATAATAAGGGTTTTTACATCAAAACCATATTTACTTTTATCCAAATTGATATTTACCATTTTAAAGTTTTTTTTATGTAAATCATATTTACTTGCTAACATGTTTGCAATGTCATACCTAATCTAATTTTTAGGTAAAAATAAGCAAAATGACTATTTTACCCTCACCGTTTCTTGTTTTTTTTCATCTCCTTTCTCACAAATCCTAAATCCTAACCTAGCATCCTCATCCTACTCTAAGTAGCGGCCATGGGTTAGGGTTAGGGTTTGGGTTAGGATTTTAGGGGAGGTGGCAGCCAAGGGTTAGGATTAGGTTAGAGTTTGTACAAGAGGAGGATGGAGGAGGCTAGAGTTAGGGTTAGGGGTTGGAATGAAGATGATGGAGGTAAAATGGAAATATCTGATTTTTCGTGGGTGAACAGTAAAAAAATGTGACATTGCAAACATGTTAGCAAATAAATATGGTTTACATAAAAAAAACTTTAAAGGAGGTAAGTATCAGTTCAGATAAAGTAAATGTGATTTTGATGTAAAAACACTAATAATAATAAAGTAATTCCTAAGCATTTTCCTCAAAATTTTTGTTTTCTACTTATTTAATTTCCATTTGGCGGTCGCCAAACTCCCCCAAAGAGGGACCCAAAGGAGCTGAGACGCTTTGACTTGGGTATCAAAACACGTTCCTCTCACGTGAGCAGACCGCATAGCGAATACTTCACCATTTTTTGCTATATAACAAACCAACCGACCACCCCTTCCACCTTTTCCCACCGCTCCTCCTTCCCTGAATCAAGCGCGAAATTAAGACAAAATACAGCGTGGTTTTATCAGTAAGCTCCTCCCCTCAAATTTTCATCTTCACGATATTCAGTTTTAAGTTTTGATTCTATAAAGTTTGGTTTGATTGGATCAAAATTTTAACTCGTTTCTGTGTAGCTCTCTTCACAATTTTTTTTCTCTCTTTAAGTTAATTCCTCCACGTTTTCTAGGCATATATTTCCCATACTTGAATGATTCAATTTCTGTTTCGAAAAAGTTGGGTTTGATTTGTTCGGGGTCTTTAGGAAAAGGTGCCAAAGTTTCACTCATTTCAGTACAATTTTCTTCGCCCTGACACTTTGAAGTTGCCAGAGTTTTGATTAATCTTCGTTTTTCCTTTGACATGCATTTTGTATAACTATATGATGGTTAAATTTTAAGTCATTCGAGTACACTTTCTATTTGAATTTGATTCAAGACTTGAAAGATGCAAAGTTTTTTTTCGTTTTTTTTTATTAGTTCTTCATTTTTGGTTCAGGTTGTAAAACACCCAGCTTCTAAGAATCAGCGTTCTCGAAGAAGAGGGTAGAGATATGACTTTTGCTCCTACTTTTTGAATCTCTTTTCCAAAAATATAAAACACTGTTTAACGATAGAAATTCTAAACGGGAACAGTTTTTTATTAATATTTCACACGCTCATTATATCATTATATAATCTTGCAGGAAACAATGAGAACAGAGCCAAGTAATAATCTCAGGGTAATTTTCCTTTTTGCAAAAAATAAATAAATAAATTCAAAATTATTTTTAATTTCGCGTCTCCTCACTTCGTTCCCCTTGCACAGTCTCCTTCTTGGCCAAAGACCGTGATGAGAAAATGGCTGAACATGAAGAGTGGAGCTTATGATTTCCATTCTGATTACAAAAGTTAGTTTTCCACCCCTTCAATCTACCCTCATTTTCATTGAAATTATATAATTAAATTTCTTTGGTTTAATTTTCGAAGGAAAAAAAGGAGGGAGAGTCGGAGCGGTACAAAACAGAAGGAAGAGCTGCTCAGACAAGAACGAGACGTTCCTAATGCAGCCGGGTTTGTCAGGTACTATATGTCTGTCTCTTCCCATTCTGACCATGACGGGGGCATTTTGGGAACGAAAACTCTTTTCCCATTCTGGCCGTGACAGGGTATTTAGGGAAGGAAAAGACTGATTTTGTACTCTGTATTCCATTTTCTTCTGCTGTTCTAGGTGGTTGGCTGGTGGAGAGTTATGGAAATCTTAAACCCCTTCGATTTGGATTGGACTTGAAAGATTTTGCATCTCCTGTGTCGGAGAAATTGAGGTGACACATTATCAAGGGTGATCTGTTCAGTTCAGCATTTTTTTTCTAATATTATTAGAATACTTTTGTAAATTAATTATGGACTAATGAACTTTTTTTTTGTTTAATTAATTTTGGGATAATGATGAGAACAGATTGTTTGTGGGGACGTGGAACGTGGGAGGGAGGGCCCCACATGAAGGGATGAACTTGAAGGATTGGCTGATGAGCACTCCAACACCAGCTGACATTTTTGTTATTGGGTATGTATGCTTATGATAACCATAATTAATTTGTAAGACATTTAGTGTAATTAATCATATGATTATATTCCCCTCGTGTCATTGTTTTCATGCTTAATCATAAATTTATTCACTTTTTCTGTCCTTGATATTTTTTTTTCTAGAAATAAAAGATGTTGGTCATTTCTTTTTGTGTGGTTCACAAAACAACTGCATATATCAGATTACAGCTCAAGAATAACTTAATCAGTTTTTCTTTGTTATAAGGTTTTTAATGGAAATCTTGAGTTGTTGTAGAGAAAGAATAATTTTGAGAAAGACCTATAAGTTTAAATCATAGTGTATTGATCAGTGTTTAGAGATTTAATGTTGTAGAACACGTTGTAGCATACTTTTCGTTTCTCATATTCTAAGCAACATGATAATATAGTAAAACAATAAAATAAAGTATTACATTTTACTATATATACGGTAAATAGGAGAATGCTATAATTAATGGATTTGAATCCTCTTTATTTTTAGAGCGGTGTTAGAGGCACACCATGAGGCACACCTCCGGTCACACTCCCCCACCTGCTACAGTGCAGGAGGCCCCAAAGGAGATTTTTAAAAAAATCTCCTGTGGGCCCCCCTGCACTGTAGCAGGTGGGGGAGTGTGACCGGATGTGTGCCTCATGGTGTGCCTCTAACATTTCTTTTATTTTTAACGATATTTCAAAGATAGTTATCATCATATCCCTTAATTAGTTATATTAATTATATGACAGATAACTCAGAATCACTAATCAAATATTAAATGATTCTGATTTAAGAATGATCTGTTTTTTACCAATTAACATGAAAAGCATTCATATCTATAATATGAAGCTGCGAAAATACATAATATAAGTTGAGTTATTATGCAAAATCCAATTTAATAGGGGTTCAGATATAGCTCGGATATGATACTAACCATATCCATATCCACTTATGAATCACGGATACGACTNTACAAGAAAACCGAAGAGAATAATATTGAAAAGAATTTAGTTCACACGATGCAAGATAGTTCGTTAATGCATTCGTTATATCCGAAAAGTTATTATTAGATCCCTTAACCATTGAAATTAACCTCAAATTCATCGACCTGAGCACTACAATACATGCAATTGTACGATCAATTTATATTCAAACATTTTGAAATGTTAATCCAGATATTTTATTGTACATTTATATTCGTTTCCTATATGATAAGGTTACATTCTCTGATGCCGATATATAAATGTAAAGAATTTGATCTTGCCATTTTCGTAGTTCTATAATGTGAACGGCTGTTTTTAGTTAAAAAAAACTTGCGCTCACATAGTCAGCTCAACATATTACCCTGTTGTCCACGTCATGTTTGCGAGAAATAAAGGCAATTAAACTAACGCCGTCACTGCTTTTGCCGTCAACAGGTTCCAAGAAATCGTCCCCTCTCAACTCGTCCAAAAAAGGCCACACAATTCCGGAAAATTTCAAGGCTGCCACTGAATCCGATCCTGCCCAAAAACCGAGGGTCAGCTTCTCGGACCTGTTGTCGATGTCTGATCCGATCGACGACGAGGATCCGAATTCTATCGACGAGGACGAATGTTTCGAATATTCGACGAACAATTCGCGGGGTCGTTACTGCTTAGCGGCGAGCAAGCAGATGGTGGGGATATTTGTGTGTGTTTGGGTCCGGTCCGGGCTCATGCGGCACGTGACCAGTCTTAAAGTCTCGTGCGTTGGGAGGGGCATAATGGGGTACATGGGAAACAAGGTTTGTTTAAGGGTAGATTTCATAAAGTTGTGACGGATTATCAGGGGTTTTTCCTATAAATAGATTTATTAGATATACATATCATAAACTTTCAAATAAAAAATAAAAATAGGAAACTAACTATATAATAAATATTTTGAATTTTCAGATAATAAAGTACCTAAGCTACTAGTATGAACACCGTGCAAAGCACGACATATTTTTTTCTCGCTATAGTAATCCCGGTTTTAACTGTATTTCTTTTAGATATTTTTTGAATTGATACAATATTCCGCTTCTGTTACAGTGTTCCGTGTGCTACAGTATTTTTAAAAAAAAAATCATGGTGTCTAGTTTCATGTTTGCTGCAAACAATAAAATTAAAAAACTAACTATATAATAAATATTTTGAATTTTCACATAATAAAGTAACTAAGCTATTATAAGATGCACGTTATCGCCAGACAAATGCCATGAAATTTGAAACATTTTCATTAAAAAATATGATTTTTCTCCCCCTTGTACTGTAAGCCATTTTCATTTACGATAGCTTCCAGTGAGATTCTTAAAAATCCATTTAGTTCGTTGAAAATTACTCGTATAATTCGAGCCCTTCCCAAAATGATCTTCTTTTCTTTTTTTTGGTTAATTTTCGTACTTCCTTTTCTTATTATTAATTTTTATTTTTGTAGGGATCAATTTCAATTAGCATGGCAATTAAAGAAACAGCATTTTGCTTTGTTTGCACGCATTTGACATCAGGGGAGAAGGAGGGAGACGAACAAAGGAGAAATTCGGACGTGATGGAAATTCTGAAGAGGACCAGATTTCCACCAACAAATCGATTTTCGAGACCATTTTCGTTTTCTCCCGACACAATTTTAGACCACGAGTACGTATGTTAATTCTCTCGGTATCGTAATTATAATTAAACCTGCAAAAAATATAGTATGCACATATATAAAGGATTATTTATTTATATATTGGACCTTCGAATTTGCAGCAAAATTATATGGCTCGGGGATCTTAACTACAGACTCGCCACCGCGTGTAGTGAGACGCGTGAGCTGTTACAGAAGAACGACTGGCAAGCGTTGTTAGAAAAAGATCAGGTTTGCAATTAAATTTACTGTGACTTTGTAATTTGTTTTGTGATCGCTTAGGGCCCGTTTGTTTCCTTTTTTTTTTCCCAAAAGGAAACCATGCCACAGTTCTGAAAAATATCAGAACTGTGGCAGCTTACGTTAAGAGGCGTTTTGGCTTGAAAGCTGCCACAGTTCTGACATTTTTCAGAACCGTGGCGGTGTTTCCTCTTGGGGGAAAAAAAGGAAACAAACGGGCCCTTAATTTTTAGGAAGTTTGATTAATGTGATGATTAATATTTACGCAGTTACGGATTGAGCAAAGAGCTGGGCGAGTATTCGAAGGATGGGAAGAAGGGAGAATACATTTTCCTCCTACTTACAAGTTTCTCACTAACTCTGATAGCTACGCACTTATCCCCTCTAAATCGAAGCAAAAGCGTCGAACACCAGCTTGGTTAGTAATAATTAATCACCGCTTAATTTTTTTTATGTCAGGATTAATCATATATAAGAACTTCATAAATCAGAGAAAACACTTCAACTTGTTTCACTAAAAATACGATGAACGCATTCAGGTGTATGACAATAGATATTAATGAGGATTATTAATTAAGACCATATATATAGGCACCGCGTTAAATATCATTTATGATTTTGTGCAAAAAAAAAAATAGTCCAAGGTTAGGGTTCCTTTTTACAATTTATTCTTTTTAAAAAACAATTTCTTATGGTCTCAGAAAGTCAATAAAAATCTAAAATTTCTCTATAAATTCGGTAGTGATCTTGTCTATGTCTAAATCAATTTGACTATGTACCTCGATCATATAGTCCACGAAATTATTAGTTTACGGATAAACATGATCGAATCCGCTTGATCTATGATGATGGTGTCCACTTGAAATTTCACTAAGTATAAATCGTACATGATCTCATGAAGATGCTTACTAAAATTTGAAAGATACTCGTACGGTCTCTGACTAATCCTTAGCTATATCTTTTCAAGACCATTAATAGTTTGACTAATAGCAAGTAGTAGTGCTTAATTAATTGGTCTTATTATTAACTGGCCGTTCCTAATTAATCCATAAATTAACTAAACTTGATCCGTGTACTTATAAAGTAAGTGTGGTGGTGGCATCTCTTATCTCTAAAAGTCCATGAATCGACAAGTTGTCTACAAGATTAGCGCGTGATTAGATTTTGATCTACAAACTTAGATTGTCAACATAGAATCATGCAGGAGAATTAACTTATTAAAGCAACCTAGATTCAAATCCCACTAGACAAACTTTGTTGCGTAAAATAGTCAAGATTTAATCCATGAGAAAGACGCCAGAGTAGTAACTACAGCCGAATGCAATCTATAGACGGAGTTACGGCTGCAGTTGCGGAAAAGCCTCGACTTGCGGTCAATGTCTTGCACAGATATGAGCACAAGTCACATTTGTCTCAACACGCATTATGCGTTTTGATACTTAGTATTCATCCTTCTTCTTCTTCTTCTTTCGGTCACAAGAACCTAACCCTGTACTTATGCAACATGGGTTCGTTACTTCGATCAGGTGCGACCGCATTCTATGGCGAGGAAAAGGGCTCGACCAGAAGTGGTACGTCAGGGGCGAGTCAAGATTCTCAGATCACAGACCGGTCTCTTCTCTCTTCAGCGTACAACTTGATGACTATATATCCATGTTATGAAGAAGACTGTAACCGCACGCCAGAATCGAGGACCAAGGTTTTGACCAGAACCAACTTGATGGGACCCACTAAGTTGGCTGACTTGATGAATGAGAAAAAGTCCAAGCTGGAGAGTCTGCTAGGTTCTGAAGTTGTATAGGAGTTTTAGTGTTGCCATTGTTTTGGTTATTTTATTTGTTGGTTTTATGTAAGTAATTTGTGATTAGAGAGTATTAAACTATAAATAATGATACAACCGGGAGGGAGAAGAACTGAAGAAGACATGTTTTGCTGCATATTTTAAAGTTGGTGATTACACTGATTCATGTAAGATGTTATATTATTATTATTATTATTATTTGAGAGAAATGATGGATTCCTGTTAACCATAACAGTAATTCAGTCAGCTAATTGATGTTATATTATTTTTGTAAATATATTTTAACTATTTGTATTGATTTTAGCTTACATTGATTCGTATACTGACTGCTCTCTACTCAATTTGACAGTAGGGTACATAGTGCCCCTTGTTAGATCTAAACCAAAACTTGAGATCTAAAAAAACATATAGCCATGATTAATTCGAAGAGATTAACAATAATCAAAAGATTATACCTGAATCCATAGAAGAAATCTTGATTTGGGTTTCAATGATCTTCTAACCTTAGGGTTTCTCTAAATCCGAATTTCTCTCTCTAGATGGGGGTGAAGAGAATTAGATAGTGTAACCCTAGGTTAGGGACCATAACCCCTTATTTATAGATGTTGTACATTTGTAATTTAGCCCCTCAATAAATCACAATTACAACCTGGTATCTGCACATATAACCCCATGATTATATTTAAATACCCATTAACCCAACTTAATTGATCACTTTAGTGGGTTATCCTGAAAGATAGCAATACACATTGATTAATCATATGTGTCCACAAATAGATTTATTAGATTAAATCCAACAATCTCTCACTTGGGCACCATATGATTCCTTAAATTGTGTATAACCTTATGAGCTCAAAAAAAATTTTTTTGGTCAATGAGAATTATTTTTCATTCAAACCAAAATGAGAGTTATGTACATCAAGTTCTCATATTTGAGAAATCTAAAAACAAATGAAATCACTTACAGCCTAGGGAAACTCCACAGAACAAATCAATATCTACAAAGAAATAACCCAATCCCTGTTTTCTGATTGAATAGGACTATTAAGGACTGGGATTAATATGTCCATCTTAATCTCATTTACCAGCTGTTCGATCCCTTTTGAAGTCTGTGAGAAAATCCTGGCATTTCTCTCACACCATATTTTGTAAAGAGTAACCGAAAAAGCCATCCTCTTGATCCCCTTCTTGAATCCTCTACCCCTTAAACAATTGTTAAACCAATCCATTAGATGGCTCCAACTACAAGATCTCCATTTAAACTTGAGCCAACACATAACCCTGTTCCATACATTCTGAGAATACACACAGTCAAAAAATAGGTGATCACGATCTTCAGGACCTGCACCTAAACATAAACAACAGCTATTTGATTGAATAATTCCCATCCTCAATAATCTGTCTTGTGTCAAAAGTCTGTTCTGAACAGCAAGCCAGCAGATAAACGAGTGCTTGGGGTAGTTCATTTTCTCCCATACAGTGTTAAACCATGGAACTTGAGGAACAGTGGGAGATAAAGCTTCATACAGGGCAGAGGTCTTAACTTTTGAATTTTTGTAGCAGGAGCCAATGACTTGTTTCAAAATATCAATACCTCCAACTAAGACAGCAGCTCTATCTCTGGATTTAATTAGCTGCTTCCAAAGCCAGAAATCCCCAGATTTTGCATTAACAAACCATATGTCTGTATTCTTCAAATATTTTCCATGAATCCACTTAATCCAAAGGAGCTCCTTATTCAAATGGATATACCATATATTCTTCAAAGCAGCTGCAAGATTCCATAATCGAGCAGAAAAAATGCCAAGACCTCCAGATTTTTTAACACGACATATTTTTCCCCAAGCTATTAATGATGGTTTTTGAGAATGCTCAGTACTCCCCCAAAGGAAATCTTTGCAAATGCCATCGATTTTTTGAAGCACACCAACAGGCAGGATGTAACAGGAAGTCCAGTATATTTGAACACCCAAGATGACACTTTTGATAACTTGTAATTTCCCCGCATATGACAGATTTTTAGATTTGGACCATAACTGAATTTGATTGTTGATTTTGTTAAGAAGAGGGTTGCAATCTGATTATGATAATCTTTTGCAAACAAGAGGCATACCCAAGTATCTAATAGGCAAGGAACCCTCAGCAATACCCAATAACTCTTTAATAGATACTTTAGTAGCTTCATTTACCCCACCAAAGAAAATATGACATTTATCTGAGTTTGGTTCCAGACCAGTAACAGAGCTAAAATCTTTCAAGCACTGATTGAGCTTAAGAACTGAATTCAGATCACCTTTGCTAAATAATAACAAATCATCAGCGAAGACCAGGTGGGAAATCTTGAGCTTTCTGCACATTGGATGAAAATTGAATTGCCTATCATTTTTCAACAGGTCCAAGCTCCTTGAGAGATACTCCATACCAAGGATAAATAGGTAGGGAGAAAGGGGATCCCCCTGCCTAAGGCCTCTTTTCCCTTTAAAATCCCCATGTAGGGAGCCATTAAGGGAGATAGAATATGATGGAGAAGAGATACAGGTCATTATCCAGTCCACCATTTTGTTTGGAAACTGAAGACCCAGTAACATTTCTTTTATAAAGCACCAACTGATAGTATCAAAAGCTTTTTTGATATCTATGCTGAGCATAACTCTTGGGGAAACTGATTTTCTGCCATAATTCTTGATCAATTCATGAGCCAGTAAAATGTTGTTGGTGATTTGCCTACCCTCAACAAATGCGCTTTGAGCATCATTTACTATAGAACCCATAACTGTTCTAATCCTATTCGCTAGGATTTTAGATATGATTTTGTAAAGAGAATTAGAGAATGTAACCCTAGGTTAGGGACCATAACCCCTTATTTATAGATGTTGTACTTTTGTAATTTAGCCCCTCAATAAATCACAATTACAACCTGGTATCTGCACATATAACCCCATGATTATATTTAAATACCCATTAACCCAACTTAATTGATCACTTTAGTGGGTTATCCTGAAAGATAGCAATACACATTGATTAATCATATGTGCCCACAAATAGATTTATTAGATTAAATCCAACAATCTCCCACTTGGGCACCATATGATTCCTTAAACTGTGTATAACCTTATGAGCTCAAAAATTGCTATCACTGAAATGGTATTTCCGAACAATCTCGTCCATTGACTATATCAATATAGGATCAAAGCGGCCTTCGTCACATTTATCGTGACTCGACCCATCAATGGTCACATATACCAATACAATCAAACGACATAGATCAATCATGGATGTGCAGCATGAAAATTACATGCAATGTGATCAGTACATGTCTATTTTCAACTGGTCCTCCTTAGTGAGGTCAAAACCAAACATAATGTAACAGAGTGACTTAACTGAAAACTTTATTCTGATCAGACAATACAACCAAACATAAAGCACCACAATTACAAACTCCCACTAATAAAGCACCACAAATACAAACTCCCACTAAAACATAATATCCTCAAATAATACCACACCCATATGAGCAGTATGCTCATGAAAGACCTTAGGTGGCAGTCCCTTAGTAAGAGGATCAGCTATCATGGAGTTTGTCCCAATGTGCTCTATAGATATTTGTCCACTCTGTACCCTTTCTTTCACAACCAGGAACTTAATATCAATATATTTTGACTTAGTTGAGCTCCTGTTGTTATTGGAATACATTACTGCAGATTTATTGTCACAATATAACCTTAGTGGTCTTTCAACATTTTCCAAAATGCGCAGTCCCGTGACAAAATTTCGCAGCCATATTCCCTGATTGGATGCCTCATAGCAAGCTACAAATTCTGCTGCCATAGTGGAGGAAGCTACTAGTGTTTGTTTGACACTTTTCCATGATATAGCTCCTCCTGCTAACATATAAATATAGCCTGATGTAGACTTTCTGCTATCTTGGCATCCAGCAAAATCAGAACCCGAATACCCAATGACCTCTAATTTTTCTGATTTTCTGTATGCGAGCATGTAATCTTTTGTTTTCTGAAGATACCTCATAACCGTTTTGACTGCTATCCAATGATCCATACCAGGGTTGCTTAAGTATATGCCTAACATCCCAACAATATACGCAATATCCGGACGCGTACATACCTGAGCATACATTAGACTTCCTACAGCCGAAGCATAAGGAATCTTCTGCATTTCCTGAATTTCAAGGTTACCTTTAGGGCACTAATTGAGACTAAACTTGTCTCCTTTAGCAACAGGGGTGTCACCTGGTCTGCAATCTTGCATGCCAAACCTTTTAAGTACCTTATCGATATAGCTCTTTTGTGATAATCCAAGAATACCCCGAGAGCGATCTCGATGTATCTGGATCCCTAATATAAAAGAGGCGTCCCCAAGATCTTTCATCTCAAAATTCTTTGATAGAAATCTCTTGGTTTCGTGCAACATGCCTATATCATTAGTGGCAAGCAAGATGTCATCGACATACAGAACCAGAAAAATATACTTACTCCCACTGAACTTGTGATATACACAGTCATCAACAATGTTCATCTCAAAACCGAACGAGATAACTATTTGTTGAAACTTATGATACCATTGACGAGGAGCTTGCTTGAGTCCATAGATGGATTTCTTTAATTTGCAAACCATATTCTTTGGGTCTCCTGACACAAAATTTTCTGGTTGCACCATATAAATTATCTCATCAATGTCTCCATTGAGAAATGCAGTCTTAACATCCATCTGATATAACTCAAGGTCATAATGAGCAACAAGTGCCATGATTATTCTGAAAGAGTCTTTCGATGAAACCGGAGAGAAAGTCTCTGTATAATCAATGCCTTCCTTTTGAGTATAGCCTTTAGCCACAAGACGTGCCTTATACCTCTCCACATTATCATTTGCATCCCGCTTGGTTTTAAAAATCCATTTACAACCAATTGGTTTTGCACCTTCTGGTAATGGGACAAGTTCCCAAACCTTATTGTCTTGCATAGACTTGTACTCTTCATTCATGGCATCAATCCACTGTTGAGAGTTAGAACTTTTCATGGCCTGAGAGAAGTTGATTGGATCATCTTCTAACATTCCACTACTTTCCTCATGTTCTTGGAGAAATACAATATAATCATCCGGAATAGCATTTCTCCTTTCTCTCGTGGATCTCCTTAATGGCACTGGTTCTTGAGGTTGTTGAGTTTGTTCTTCTGGAACAGGGAGTTGTTCAACATTATCATCTTGAGGTTCCGGATTTACTTCTTGAGCAACAACATGTATAGGAATCTGAATATTGTCAAAAGTAACTGTATGGATTGGATCTGAAGCCAATTCCTCCTCAAAACTAATGTCTCTAACCTTATTTCTCCCCCCAAACTCAACATCCTCAAAGAATGTTGATGTTCCCGTCTTAAAAATATTCCTTATAGTGGGATCATAAAACTTAAAGCTCCTAGAGCGTTCAGAGTACCCAATAAAGTAGCTGCTAACTGTTTTGGAGTCCAATTTCTTTTTATTCGGCCTATAAGGCCTTGCCTCAGCTGGACATCCCCAAATATGTAAATGCTTTAAACTGGGCTTTCGACCAGTCCAAAGCTCATAAGGTGTTTTAGCAACTGCTTTACTTGGTACTCTATTCAGAATGTAAGCTGCTGTCTTAAGTGCTTCTCCCCAGAGTGACTCTGGTAAAGAAGAATGAGCAATCATACTTCTTACCATATCCTTAAGAGTCCTGTTTCGTCTTTCAGCTACACCATTCATGCTAGGTGAACCCGGCATAGTGTACTGTGGGACGATACCGCATTCCTCTAGGTATCTAGCAAATGGTCCTGGACGTTGTTCACCTGAACCATCATATCTACCGTAGTACTCACCACCACGATCAGATCTGACGGTTTTAATTCTTCTGTTGAGTTGATTCTCAACTTCAGCTTTATAGGCTTTGAACATGTCCAGAGACTCAGATTTTTCATGAATAAGATATAGGTGCCCATAACGTGAGTAATCGTCTATGAATGATATAAAATATTGTTGACCATTCCAGGATTCCGTAGGGAATGGCCCACAAATATCCGTATGTATCAATTCTAAGACATCCGAAGATCTGTTGGCACCTAATCTTTTCACTTTGGTCTGTTTTCCCTTGATACATTCAACACATACGTCGAAGTCTGAAAAATCAAGGGAATCCAAAATGCCATCAGACACAAGACGCTCAACTCTATCTTTTGAGATATGACCCAAGCGCTTATGCCATAATGTTGCCGAATTTTCCTTATTTAATTTACGCTTAGTACCACGTGATTCCACATGCAATGATTCATTATAAGAAGCAATTGTATCGAGCAAATATAGGTTGTCATAAGTACTTAAGTAACCGGTTCCCACAACATTTGAATTAAAAGATAAACTGAATTGATTGTTTCCAAATGAACAAGAATAACCTGATTTGTCCAATACAGAAACTGAAATCAAATTCCGTCTAAAAGACGGTACTATAAAAGTATCTTTTAAATCCAAATAAGAACCAGTTCCTAACAACAACTACAAAAGACGGTACTACAAAAGTATCTTTTAAAATTTACGGTTCATCCGAAAAGTTTTCGCTACTGTTCATCCGAACAAAAAATTTACTGTTCATCTGAAAAATTTTCTTTACTGTTCATCCGAACAAAAAACTTTACTGTTCATCCTGAAAATTTTCTTTACTGTTCATCCGAACAAAAAACTGAATCTTTAACCAGAGATTTAAGATAAAAAAAACCCCAATAAAACTTAAATCCCTAAGAATTAATCAAGGTGGCTCTGATACCACTTGTTAGATCTAAACCAAAACTTGAGATCTAAAAAAACATATAGCCGTGATTAATTCGAAGAGATTAACAATAATCAAAAGAGTGCGGAAGATTATACCTGAATCCATAGAAGAAATCTTGATTTGGGTTTCAATGATCTTCTAACCTTAGGGTTTCTCTAAATCCGAATTTCTCTCTCTAGATGGGGGTGAAGAGAATTAGAGAGTGTAACCCTAGGTTAGGGACCATAACCTCTTATTTATAGATGTTATACATTTGTAATTTAGCCCCTCAATAAATCACAATTACAACCTGGTATCTGCACATATAACCCCATGATTATATTTAAATACCCATCAACCCAACTTAATTGATCACTTTAGTGGGTTATCCTGAAAGATAGTAATACACATTGATTAATCATATGTGCCCACAAATAAATTTATTAGATTAAATCCAACAATCTCCCACTTGGGCACCATATGATTCCTTAAATTGTGTATAACCTTATGAGCTCAAAAATTGCTATCACTGAAAATATATTTCCGAACACCCCTCTTTATGGTTTTCTTTTTTTTGTTCATGGTAGCAAGCTGACTCTGCCGCAATCTAGTTTCCTGCATTTATTTATTTTAGTTTATTTTATTTTATTGCTGTTACGCGTCTTTGAGTCATGAGACCGGATAATTTTTGGGGACAAATTTTAAAACCATCCACTTTTAAAATTTATTTATAAAAAACAACCCATTTCAACTTTATTTTTAAAAACCGACCCAGTTGGTTGAAACTGAGTTGGTTTTTGAAAAAAAAAATTCAAACTTCACGGGAGTTGAACTCCCGTGAAGTTTTGTTATGAGAAAAAACTTCACGGGAGTTCAACTCCCGTGAAGTTTGAATTTTTTTTTTCAAAAACAGACCCAGTTTCATCTAACTAGGTCTGTTTTTGAAATTAAGGTTGAAAGGGGTCTTTTTTTGGAAATAAATTTCAAAACCGGATGGTTTTGAAAATTTGTCCTAATTTTTGGAGACGTGTGTGCGTCTTTCTTTTTTGTCCCCCCAACAAGTTGGTCTTTTTGGATCGTTTTTGGACCGTAAGTTATTACTTTTTTTTCCCCTCAAATTTTTGTTGTTTTTTTTTAATCGTTTTTGGACTGAAAATTGTTGTTACAATACAAGGCCAACAGAGGAGAGCATGTGACAGAGAGCAGGAATCAACAGGGCTCGTTTCATTGGTTGCATAATGCTAAATAATTTGTACTTGCAAGCAAGTACGAAGATTGCTAGAGAAACAAGCTTCCCATCATTTCGTAGAACATGATATAAACTTTAAGAGTCTCAAGTCTCGACATGCAAATAAAACTTTTCATTACCAGGCCAAGACACGTACTCATCGCAAAATCATCAAATCTGGGTAACTTGATGCTCAAACACAAAACGATATCAATCCAGCGGCATCATAAAAAGAACTGCGAAAAATAATGCTCTGTTTGCATAGGGGGAATGCAATTTGTTACCTTTGCACCCACTAGCATGAACATCCAAAAAATAGCAATGAAGTGTTTTCTAATATGAATACAGATTTTATTCAACCGAATGAACTCGTGGGCTCAACCAACACCTCCCATCTACTTATTTTCTACAGGAAGCATTAATACCTTCAACATGACTCAATAGGGATAATTGATGGGCTCTCGCTGTAGGGCTTTCTTCACAAGCTCAGTCTGCTCCCGTACATGAACAGCGTAGAAACCGGTGGCTGTTGCAGCTGAAGGCCCTCTTCCGACGTATTTTATGTCTTCGATTGATCCTCTGCTGAGGGGACGCATGGCAGTGGAGAGGCGAGGGTTTACGTAACTGTATGCACCCATGTTCATTGGTTCTTCTTGGCACCAGACAATTTCTGCGTCTGAAAAAGATAAATTGAGGGGGAAAAGGTTCAGCTTATATTTGTGCGACAAAGTTTTTAACAAAAAGAATCTAAGCACCATAGGAAAGCACAAACTGATGCATATCCCATGATATCAATGTCGATCAGATTCTTCACAATTTCCTCTAAGGGGCTGCTTGGTTCGCCCAAAATTTGTAGAAAAAGACCGAAAAAGAAAGAAAATGGAGAAGAAGTACATCTTGTTGTAAGTTTTTCATAACATTTCCTTTTCTTTGTTTGGTTCAAACCTTGAAACCAAAAAGAGTAGTGATGTGCCAACTTCTTATTGGTTGATGTGACCCACATTTTAGGACACCCATTTCATGGGTTTGGTTGAGGATCACGGGTTTGGTTGAGGAAATTGGAGGAAAACCGGTTTGATGATTTCCTCACCTCCTTCCTTTTTCTTTAATTTTCATGAAAACAACCAAACAGGCAACCAAGGCTAAGACAAGAAGTAAGCTGTCTGAAATCCTGCCCGCTACACCAAAAAACTCTGAAAAATTGTGGTGAGGGCTAAAGGTTGTAATTTCTTATACTCTTAACATTGCCCTGCAGGTTGAGCATTCTTTTTTTATGCCAAATCCTGAACTCAAGCAGCAATACTTTTTTAAAATCCTTATTTAAATGTATGGCTGGAAAGATTTGAACCGAGGTTGCTCTGATATCATCTTGAAGTCCCTTCCACTACACCAAAACTATTAGGTTGTGGTAAGGATGAAGGCTATAATTTTCTACTCAACAGTTTGTTGCCAAGTCTGAAAGTGGTGTCAAGATCACCTAGGTCTAGATGACATTGAGACCGTATAAATGCATGAATAGGTTAGGTGAACAGGCTACAACATGCAAATGAATTCATGAAGGTGCCTTTGACTATCGGAGATGTAGTGCGTAGCCAACACTATATATAGGGTTTTAGCAAACACTAGGCACACTTAGAAGTGAGGAATGGTATGATAGGTTAGGGGGGGAAATGGCATTTGATAAAGCAAGCTATAGCAATCGAAGTATAAGGATAAATTCAACCTTGATTCTAATTCAAAGTAAAGAGAGTCAACATGGAAAAGTCATATAATTCGAGAATCTATTTGCGCTGATATGTTTGTGTGTGTGTGTATCTATGTAAGTTTTCAGCACGTTCAGTTGATGAATCCATGATTCTATCTTAAAGTAAAAAGCAATCAAGCTTTAAATCGACTGCTAAACATATCTAATTAAAATCAGCTTTATAACACGAGAACCAAGTACAAAGTTAAAAATCAAGCTTGATTCTATCACAGAATAAAAAAGAATCAACATGGAAGAAGTCATATAATCCAAAGATCAATCTGTGTTCATCTGTGTGTGCCTATGTAAGCTTTAAGCACCTTATAATGCAGCAATCATGAGCTTGTGCTTGTGCTTGTGCGTGTGTGCTTGTCCATGTGTCTAAAGCATCTAAATGTAAAGTTTCACATACTTGGATATCGCTTCAACTCTCTCTGAACAAGGTCATAGGGGAATGGGCAAAGTTGTTCAACTCTGCATATAGCAACATCCTTGCGCTCTGTCTTCTTTCGTTCTTCATCTAACTCATAATACACCTGCAGATACAGAATAATGTCGAAAAGATACTTACAGAAAAGGACAGATATCTATTTTCTCTCTCTAGAGATGAGAAAGATACGAGATCTTAGAAAAGAAACTCAAGACATACAGAAACCGCATACCTTTCCAGAGCATAAAATCAACCGATTAATACCCTCCTCAACCTCTTTGTGATCGTTCTGATCTTTAATAAGCCGTTTGAACCTTGTTCCCTGTTTATCAAATCCCGGATGTCCTTCAAGATCATCAAATTCCGATAGGTTTGATTTGCAATCCTTGTGGCGAAGCAGATTTTTGGGAGACATTACTACTAGAGGTTTCCGGAACTCCCTGTGTATCTGAGAAACAAATCAAATACTCAGCAAATAGAAATATCTTCAACATCAATATATAGGAAATGATTTGGTGACGACAAACCTGGCGACGCAATACGTGGAAATAATTTGCAGGTGTTGTAACATTCACAATTTGCCAATTGCACTCCTGGATCTGTTTCCGAAGAGTTGGTTCCATCTCAGGTATAACATAAGGGTTGTCGTCACTCATCTGCATATAATTTAGCATTCAATGACATAAAACTTGTGGAATTTGCCCCATAAATGAAGGAATCTAAAATAATATAATGCTTAACCATAACTTGTTTTTTTAGCATAAAAATGTGGTTTAAAATTCAGGAACAAAAGAAAAGAAAAGCATAGAGAGCTTGAGACAGTAGAAAAGCATAAACCAGTAGCTGATAACATAATATCTTGGTCATCGATGTTCAATAACGTTTAAGAAATAAGACATGAACATGCAGTACGGGAAAAAAACAAATAGATAAGAGACAAGTTGCAATGATAAAGAACGCTTCACGATGTTCCGGGTTTTAAACAAGATGTCCGTTCGAAACTTTGGGAATATGACAAATTAGAATAACAAGAACCACCTATAGTCTCTGTGGTGTAAGTCTTACATGTAATGTACTGGGCAAGGTCTGAAATCTCTATATGGTGATGAGCTAGGTGTTTTTAACATTGGTTCTAGCAGCAAGAACTTTCTTTAGCATTACAGACAAAACAAAGATGGCATGACGTACAAAAGGTTTACTTCAAATGTTTACTACAGGAGTGACAGATCAAAAACTGGATGTCATGAGAATAAACTAAAGATCCTGGAGTTTTTGACTTTAAACATAATAAACTGAGGTTTTGGTTTAAATATATAATTATTGACAAATGGCTCATTATCACAGGAACAAGACAAGCTGTTTAGTCTCCAGAAAGGAATAAAAAAACGAACTTAAAAATTAAGGTTGAAAGAAAATTATGTAACCCAAGTTAAATTAAATATATCAAGTATGTAATACCTGGAGAAAACGTTCCAATCGTGCACTTGAATGCTCAGGACCTTGACCATCATAACCGTGAGGCAGCAATACAACAAGCCCAGTTTGTCGGAGCCACTTTGACTCTCCACTACTCAAGAACTGATCAAATATTACTTGAGCACCATTCGCGAAATCACCAAACTGAGCCTCCCAAAGTACCAAAGAATTGGGATTCTCCATTGAGTACCCTAATTCGAACCCAAGCACTGCAAACTCAGACAGTGAGCTGTAAAGACGATTTTAGTTAGAAGCTGTTCTCATCCATGGTAGAATGCAAAAAAAATATGTTAGAAAAATAGTAATCAGATTATAAATGCCACGATTAAGAGGCATAATACAGCCTGGGGGCATAACTGAAGTCAAATGACTCAAATCATTTACCAAAAGCATATGAGATTTAGATATAGAAGGCCAATGTTTAGGAGCCTAGCAGCCTCAAATTTTCAGCAGCTCACTTTTTATATTTGCATATTTTGCATGCAAAAGCAAATAAATATCTCTAAGTATATCATAAGGAGGTTTATACAATAAACTCCACCCTCCTTGCTTAACTAGATCATTAGATTCAGGAGAAATGATTTGCGTCTATCTAGGACTCAATGAACTAGAACAAGCTGCACCTGGCCATCCACGAGAGAAGATGATTTAACAGTTTGCTGCACTACAGTACAGTAGGAGAATACTATGATAAACTAATACCAATCAAAGAAAGAGAAATAATATATAAACCAAAGACAAACTTCTAACCTAAACTAGCCTATACTTTTCATAAATGTACTATTAAAGAGCAACATAATTATTGCAAGTCAACAAATAAGAAGCAAAAATTGAGAACAAACCTGTTGCTAACTGTAAATAACTCTTCGTTTTGGTTCATAACAATATGATCTAGGGGGCAATACTGCTCTCCCGTCTCTTGGTCATGAATGACTGAATGGCGATGACTGAATGTGCCTCTTTCAACATCCTGACCACTCAATCTCACATGGTTACCTTCGACGATAAGGGTTGCAAAAGCAAGTGCCTCTCCGACTGCCCAATCAATACCTTCACCAGTTTCAATCATCTGAGCACGCTGCTCAAATATCTTCTTAACTGCTCTATGAGGCTTGAAAGTTTCAGGAATTGTTGTGATGCCTTTCCCAACACTTTTCAGTACTTCAGGGTTCACTCTGAAAGCAGGATGATTTTTTAAGCCATAAAAAAGTCAAATAAGATATGCAAACAAATGAAATTCGTTAAAGAGATTGCTTATACCCAGTGTTCCTTATACGTGAAATCTGCTCAGGAGATTTGAAGCCAGCCCAATAAGCTGAAAGCCAGTCTCTTTTCGTGGTAACATAATCCTTGCTGTTATTGAATTCCTCATTTAAGATAGAATTAACTTTGTTATTTATTCTCTCAATATCATCTTTGGAGATCTGGCCTGATTCTAAGAGTTCGTTCTGGTAAATGTCCAGTGCTCTTGGATGATTACGAATAACCTATACAAGCATCAACCCTGTCAGTAACTTAAAGACAACACGAGGGTAAACATCTGACAATGCTCACAGAAATATTGTAATTCTAATGTCAAGTGATTGTATTCAGCAATTTTTATTTTTATGCTTTAGTTATGTATCAATAGCTAACTTTTCAGTGCTTTTGGATGATTACAAATAACCTATACAAGCATCAACCCAGTTAGTGTCACTTAGTAACTTAAAAACAACACTGGGGTAAATATCTGACAATGCTCACGGAAATATTGTAATTCTAATGTCAAGTCCTTGTATTCAGCAATTTTTATTTTTATGTTTTCATTATGTCTCAATAGCTAACTTTCATTTTCATACCAATTGATATTATTTCCTTCTATTACTTGATCTATACACTCTCAAATTCAAAATTTCAGTAACTTACCTGAGCACCGCAAAAGGAAAGAAAGAACAATATAGCAGAGTAACAAATGTCCATAATTTCA